AACCAAAAAAACTAACGACGAAAGAAAATTTTGTTATTGTGGATTTTTAAACATTGCCGATCAAATCTCGATAGCAACCATGTTAATCAAATCAACCATGCCGATCAAATATGTATAACCAACCATGTTGAAGATTTTTTGAAAGAGCACTTATCTATCACGATAAAATTAACATACATAATGTTTGACTATTTTCTAACGTTCTGTAGTAAATTTGAAACTGATCATTAAGAAGCACGGCATCGATAGTTATTATATCGATTATTTCCATCGGTTGTGCGATCAATTTAATTTGCTATAATTTTGTCATGTCTTGCACGAATAATAGGCATACTACTATGGATATAAATATGAGACCGAATTAACGTGTTCGCAGGGCGTACGAGACTATGCTATTCGCGTAATAATTGCTAACTCCCTTTAGAGGGAATCGTTTAGCAATTTTATAAAATTGCGAGCGACGATACATTTATTCAGACGAGACGCTTTGGTATGACTATCTTTTTTGCCTTTTTGTGAAATATTAATATGTACGCTTTCAGGAAAAAATGATAGTCCCAGACAATGTAAGAAAAAAATTCGAAATTAATTTTTGATTTCCAATCACTTCTATAGATTAAATTAACTTCTTGCCCTTTAGTAAGGTGACCATATTTTTTGCATGAAATTCGGGACGGATTATAATATGTTCGAGAGCGGGGGGAGGGGGGTGCTGGTGATATGCACATTTTTTCGGTTCCAATTTTCTAGTTGAAATATATTTAAAAAATCAAAAAAAATTTAAGAATCCGGGACAATCCGGGACAAAACATCTAAAACCGGGACAAATATTGCTTTTAGAAAAAGCCGGGACGCAAGGCGGAAAATCGGAACTGTACCGGCCAATCCGGGATGTTTACCTTTAGTCTCAACTTTAACAAAAGAATGAACATTTTCAACAATAATAACTAATAATTATATACTTTGATTTACAATTTTATCGTATTTATCGCGATTTCAAAAATGCGATTCTGTTGCATCTAGTTATTAAGATGGAAAATAGCGCACAAATGTCTTGCGATTGATTGGTGGGCTGTTCTAGATGCATCACCGAATGAAATATCCCATTCAGCAATCCAATATATAATTAAGCTTATAAGCATATCAGCAGTAATAATAATGTAAAAATGAAACAAGATATATCACAGCACAAAAATCATATAAAACAATTAGCAATGTAAATATACTCAGAAAATTTCCTAGTCAATATCTAAATATATAATAGAATAACGTTTTAGATTTGCGGATATATTGACGATTTTATCACGCGGATTTTGTTTTTATTATCGTTGAATTAAATCGTAAAGAATATATATTTAATTGTATATAAATATATATCTAATTGTATATGAATGTCTTTTGGTCCAGTAACGTATGACATGTATTATTATATAAACCATAATACATACATTGGAATTATAATATGAAAAACAAGCTTGAGGTGCTTGAAATAATTTTTTATGTCATGTCGTTAATAACGTTAATTTAAAATGCTCTTAACCATATGCAATTGAAGGTAATTTTTAAAACAAACGCTGATTTACATTATTAAATTCAGTTGTTTGCATTGAACAATCATTTTTAAAATTATGTATTCAGGAGTGGGCGATTTTAAATATTATTTCAAATCCAAATGGAATTACTTAAACAAAATACAAATCAAAACAATTATCACCGCCTTTTCCTTAAGTTTTTTAAGCATATTATTTTTCATTCTAATCTTCAAATATTTTTATATAAAATTAAATTGAATATTGCATTTGCACTATTTTTGCTTGATGTTTATTTAATATGCATATTAAAATTTTATACATTAATTCGTATTTTGATGGAAGCAAACTAACTTACAGAGGCATTTATGATTCGAAATATTGCTATTATATGCGCCTGTCTTAATGCAACAACTTTACATAATTTAATAAAGGAATGAGTATCATAGAATTGGAATAGATTTAAAATAACAAATATGATGGAATGTATAAAAGATTTATGATACACTCATAGCTAGATCATTCAATATAAGTTTATCAAATCGATTTTTTTGTCAATTCTTATTTTAATTTGTAAATGACTATTAGATTGTTGTGTTTTATTATATGGAACACTTTTATATAAAATTTAAATTTAATTAAAAAACAGAGTTGTTATGCTTACTACAAATAGTAGGTAATAAAAAATATCGACTATTTATTTGTTAGCTCCTTCCCTTTGTATTATTCCTGTTATTTAGAGTAATGCGATAAAATTGTGGACATTAAAATATTTTTTTATTATTTTTTTCAATTTATATATTTCATGGATTAATTTAACCACCATAATTTATAATTTGTTAAAAGTTGGTTTTTGAGTTAATTTGGGACTACAAATCTAAGTGCTTTAACTTATAAGATATATTCAATATCAAGACTCCTTGACATAAATAAAGGAGCTTTATTCTCCTAATGATTCTAAATCTAAATATGTATTAATAACAAAATAAAACGATGTCCAATGAGAGCCTCTCGTCTTCGTAATCGGTGTATAGCATTCGTCGATTGCTTCTCGGTGGTAATTAAAGTCCTTTTGTTTGTCCTTTGTCTGGTGTTCATTTGCCTCCGTCTTTCCTTCTGTTCATCCTTCTTCATTGTGTTACCTTGCAGTTAGGAAACTGTTCACAAAATGGCTTCTTTAGATGGACTCTTCTTATTTATAATTTATTATCTTGGAACAATAATTTAAAATTAAAAATATTATCACAATTATACAAAATTGTCAATCGAATATAATATTTTATCTAACATTTTATTATATTTTATAATCATTACTTCATATTTATATTTACAAAAATTTTACCTATACCCAATGATCACTTTTATTTTTAAGTTTAATCAAGAGTTTTTACGTCACCTTGTACCAATTATAACAATTAACATAAAGCAAACCCCCAAAGAGCAACATGTATATAGTCCTATGATAATAAAGGGACTTCTCGAGTTAACATGAAACTACACAGAGAACGAAGCTGCAATATTTCTTGTATAATGTATTCATAAATGGCAATTTTGTATAAATTATAATAAAGATGAGAAACATAAAGGTATAATTAATTCAGTTGCATAACAATGTATGAGTCATCAAAGTGTGTGTTTAAATATACTATTAGATGTCGTGGCAAAATTTATATATATATATATATATATATATATATATATATATATTCACAATATTTGCTGTATCAATAGTTAGAAGTATGAAGTATCATATTTTATTAATTTTATGATCCCCACCCCTGTGATGAAATATGAAGCATGATTTTAATGAATTCGTTTCAAAATATTTGCTCGACATTTTGGGAATTGGTCTCATTAGAAGGGCTGTCCTGATCTGCGTCGTCCGTCCCCTTAAAATAACACAACCCTTCCGTCCCGCCCTTGCATAATAAACCCTTTCATATTTCTGATACAACTTTGAATTCATAAGCGCGCAGAAGATCGAAGATGTTTTCATTTATTTTGCTCAATTGGATTTTTAATATATTTTTTTTTGAAATGAAGAAAGATATTTCAAAATATATTTATTTGTCGGTTTTGTGGAATTATTAAAATTTATATTTTTCTGTTATATATTAATGAATAATTTTATTGTAAATGTGCGCATTTGAATCGATTTAAATTCTAAATGGACAATTTTGTTAAATAACATTCTTTTGCCATCTTTCTGTAATTTTATTGGATGTTATATATAAAACTGATATAAGTTTATGTACATCATATTTTACTTGAACGAATTGATATTTACATTTTTATTTTATATTGTCGAAAAAGAGCCTACACACATCCATAACCAGTATATAGTCAACGTGGCTTATTACGGCAGTTAACGCTTACAACTTTTTATTTGCAGATAAAGTTTTTTACACTAAAATAATATTTCTTTTTTATCTAATTATTCTTATAATGTTAAATTAAGTTTAAGGTGCCACTTTATTTTGTTTACAAATATGCTTTCGCATTCATGGCATCTTTTACATACTCACATATCTGTATGCATATACATAGTACTATACATGTTATTTAATCATAATTATTGGGCGTATACAAACAAAGTAAATTGTTGGCAGAACAATTGCCTAAATAAATAAATCTATGTATTTCCTGTTTACAATTGAAACATAAGCCTATAATTATTTGACAATCCCGTCGATTGAAGCCCTTAAATCGCTGACACTGCCAATTATGATGTTTGAGTTACGGTATGTCGAGTCTGTACGATCCATCTGAGGAGGGGTCGCAGCTCTTTTGCCCTTGTCTAATTGAGTCAGCCATTAGGGGATTTTACAAGTACGTTCATTATTCGAAATTCTATATTGTCTTCCCCATGACCGAACGGTAGATGTTCATAGAATTTGAATGGTGGACGCTATGAAAAAGGTCAGGGTGCTATGTCCAAGCATCGACCTTATAATGGTCGTAATTTGAAACTTAGCAAGTCATATGCATATGTTTTAATTGTTAATATTGATATTTCAGATTCAATGTATCATAACACAAAACTATAATTTTCAAATACTGCAGAGGACATACATATATACATCCTTTGCATTTGTAGATTTCAAATCGCTTTAGCAGCAAATTATCTTTTCAATTTTATCTAATGTAACGAGAAGTTTAATTTAAATAGTTCAAAATGTTATGTTTTTTGTCGAAACTCTAATGGCTAATATTATTGATTAAAACTTTAACTGGTTCCGCGTGCTGTGGTTTTATGTTAACTTATAAATTCCGTACTTCTGCGCATATTGGCATGGGGTAATGAATTTTAAATATTCAGGCGGAACTATTCTGTTACCCAGATAATAATAATCTTCTTTAAAAACCTTTTTACTAGGGTTTATTTTCTCTAATACGCCATTTTAAATGCTGATATAAATAAGAATATTTTATGTGTGGGAGAAATATTTAATATGTTTTTTGTTGTTGCAGGAATCTCATGGTGGAACACTCGATAGATGGAGCATTTGTAGTCCCGAAGAAGAATCGGCCGTCTTGCAGCAGTTTTTAAGGTTTGCTGAGACAAGGCCTATTGCGCTGCAGCAGCTATTTGCTCGCCGTTCTCCGATGAACATGCACCTCGCTCCTGCACAGATGCCTCCGCACCACCAGAAGCCGCCACTAGGCGCCTACAAGATGTCCGCAGGCCCACCGCCAAGCCCAGCAAGCGCACCTGGACCCTTAGGCCGTTTGCAGAATATGCAACCATTTGATTTTCGCAAACTAGGTGCTCTCGCTTGTTTTCCAGCACCAGATTTGGCGCAGCAACATTTGCAAGCAATGCGCCGTCGCTTATCCGAAGCTGCCGAATTGGGTTTAAGCCATCCTCAGCATCATCACAACTTAAACCCATTTGGTCTTCATCATCCGCATCCAGCATCATTTCATACAGGCCTTTTGCCACCACCAATTGCTCCGGCTACTTCACCTGTGTCACCTCAACAAACACCAACTTCTAATAGCGTGAAGTCGGATTCGAGGCCAACATCTGATCATTCAGATGAAGATGAGAATTCGCATAGCGCATTAAATTTAAGTAAAGATGCCGCTAATCGAATTTCACGCAGACCACCTCGAACGCCACCAGCAAAAAGACATTGGGGTTCCTCAGCTGGTGCTTTACCTGTTAATTTAGGTACACAGTTTATAAATCCTGCAACAGGTAAAAAGCGCGTTCAATGCAACGTCTGTTTAAAAACATTTTGTGACAAAGGAGCTTTGAAAATACATTTCTCTGCTGTTCATTTACGTGAAATGCACAAATGCACAGTCGAGGGTTGCAGTATGATGTTTAGTTCAAGAAGATCGCGTAATAGACACAGTGCAAATCCTAACCCTAAATTGCACTCACCTCATTTGCGTCGCAAAATCTCACCTCATGATGGTCGTAGCGCACAAGCTCATCCTGTTCTGCTACCACCACATCCGCATTCGTTACCTCCTCATCCATTTGGACCATTTCCGCTATTGACACCACCGCCAGAATTAAGACATCCTCAGCATCCTCATTCGCTAGCAGCTCTAGATTTTAAACACAATTTAGATCGCGAGCTGCAGCAGCGATATGAAAGAGAAAGAATGCAACAGCAAATACTCACACCTGTTGAACGTTCTGAAAGTTCAGAACCTCAAGGTCTTTCATCACCAACTCATGAATTTGATGACGCTGATGGGGACGATGAGGAAGATGATGACGATGATGGTGGAATTGTAGTAGTAGCAGGCGATGATGACGAATCGCCATCTGAACCTGAACAACGTGATTCAATGCCTGCTCAAACGCGTCCAGACAGTAATGAAGATTCATCTACAACCAGTAATATACCTCAAGACGCTGCAAGCCCACACGCTGCCAATAAGCAACGGAAAAGAAAGAGCCAGAATCCGACTAGGTGTGCTTCTTACCCACCAGATCATCAGATTCTTTCCGAAGACGAATCTGCGGATGAGATGATGTATACGGAACCAGTGCAAACAGAGCCACAATCTCTCATCAAACGTCGACGTTCCGAAGAAAAACCAGAATCTTTAGTGTCGTCCACACCACCTGTGATTACACAACCTGAACAAACGGAAGTTCAAGATCTGTGTACAAAACCGAGAAGTCCTGATGTTAATGCCAATGAACGCATTTCTGCGACAAATGTAGATATCTGTAAGACTGAGGATGATGTGCCACGCCCTAGTTCGGCTGAAAGTAGAAGAAGTGCTGAATCTCTAGATTCTGCTAATGCTCTGCGCCGGTTAGAAAGCCTATCACACGGACACTTTGGTGAATTAATGTCTAGGGGTATACAAATGGTGCCAACTGGCAATGCATATCCTGCCGTGGGAGGATTTCTGTTAGGTACCAGTCCGCCTAGTCCAGCACATAGTCGAGCTTCATCTCCTGATATTGATGACGAAGATGATTTAGGATCCAGTGATGATTCACCATCAGATGATAATAGTGAACATCGTGTTTATGGGCGATTTGAAAATGGTACTTTTATTACGACTACAGAAATACCAATAGACAAAGATAACCCACGAAAATGCACAGCGTGTGGTAAAATATTCCAAAACCATTTTGGAGTAAAAACTCATTACCAGAATGTTCATTTAAAGTTAATGCATCGCTGCACAGTTGATGGCTGTAATGCTGCTTTTCCTTCCAAGCGAAGTAGAGATAGACACAGTACAAATTTAAACCTTCATAGAAAACTTTTATCTACATCAACAAGCAGTCAGCAGGATGCACCAGCTTTAGCAGGTCTATTAGATAAATCACCTTTCCCCGCACTTCATACAGAATTTTTGGCCCGTTTATATGCGGACACTCAGAATCTGGAGGCTTTCCGTAATCAGCATATACCGCCACCACCACCAGGAATGCTGTTTAATGGTGATCATCGCATGCATTCTTCATTACTGCTGCCGCCGCCATTGGGTTTCGGTTTTCATGGGTTAGCAGGTTTCAACCACTTGTTGCCCCATCTGAACGGTTTAACATCGTTGGGTAGAAGGTCATCAGGTTCCGATTCGCCTGTTTCAGCATCAAGCGGCATACCCGATGATGTGGACGATCTGCCGCAGCCTTTGGCTGACGGTTCCTATCAGTGCAGGCGCTGCCACGAACACATGCGCGATGCGACGGCGCTGAGGAGGCATTTCGAGAATGTGCACCCGCAAGACCTGCACAGGTGTACAGTTCAAGGGTGCAACAAAACTTTCATGTCCCGTACCAAACGTGATCAACATAGTGAAGATCGAAACGCTCACTATCTTCAACATACGCGGCACACATGACCGCATTATCTACAAGGTGCTCATCATATCCACCATAAACAATGCCAGTGCTACCAATACTCAATGTAAATAGTTTTAATTATAGAAAAAGTGACTTTTAGTGACATCATATGATGTCCTGACTAATATTATTATTGTGATACACGGATATATGAACAGTGTACTTATATTGCATATAGTTTTATTCTAAAGATAAAGATAAATTGTTCTGTATAATTTTAGGTTAACTAAACGAATGCACCCCAGTGATAATTTATTTCTAGTATTTAAGTTCATATTTCGATTTAATTGCATTGCAGGGCAGATTCGATTTTAAACTGCAGAGTTATATATACATAATGTGCAATATGATCGAGTTTCAATGTAAATTGTAGAAAATAAATAGAAACACTAATAGAGTAATTTGTTCTCGAAATCAAAATATGTTGAATTCTGATGTTTATAGTATAATACAAATTCAGAAATACAAATTCAGTCTAACCAAATTTTATCGGTTCCATAAGTAAACTGAGAAATTTTATAAAATAATTTTAACTAAAATCACAGTCAACTATTAAGTTAAGTTTTGCAGTATTAATTTGTAAATTTAATTAATAACGTGTACATTTATATAACATTATTTATTATTAATATTTCGAAATGACTGTGATTGTCAAGAAACTTAAGTCAGTTCTTTTCATTTTACTCACATCTAACTGAATATGATGAAATATTATAACATGTAAAATTAAAAAAATGAGATTTATCAGATTTAGTTATTGTACTAAATAGTGTAAATAAATAAATTTTATAAAGAATTGATTGATTAAAATTATAAATTAAAAGGTTGTTTTCTTTAAAATTGTTTTTCAGGAATTTTGATCATTACAACTAAATAAATAATAACCTTACAACGAATAATAACCATTTTTAATCGTTACTTGACATTTTCATAACAAGCTTGAGAATGTATAAAATTTGTATCAAAAGCGTATAGTTAGTATCTATTTAATGAATTTGTACAAATGATTTATGTTATGTTTAAGATATATTATGTAATATAATAGAAAAATATTGAAATGTGTTGAATTATTATGCATTTATTAAGAATTGTGCTTAACCCAAAAATCTCTGTATACGATAATCGGCAAATAAGGTGATATTGGTTAAAATATATAAAATTTGTAATGAATAATATGTAAAGGTGATTGCGAGCCAACTAGGCGCATTTATGAGCGCTTGATATTGATACAATTACAATAAAGGTGTAGAAAACAACTATGTTCTTACAAAAGTTTATATTTTATTCATAATCACCAATTCTACAATTTTCTTATTGTCATATCTTATTGTAAACTTTACCAGTGCATATGGACTGAAATATGTAATTTATATCATAACAGAATGATATACCAAAAATAAATACTTATAAAATGATGAAAATGTAATATGTTAGATTCAAAATTTAAAGAAATAAATCAATAAAATTGATGTATATAAATATATTTTGTATTTATTTATCTTATTCCTTTTCAATAGTTCTGAAATTAAAACGTTAAAATTTTTTTTCAAGTTTTTGTGAGAAGGTGTAATATATAAATGCTACTCTATTCATATTTATAAAAGATAATCCGGAGAATACAAATAATAATTTTGTTTGTTTACATAGTTTTTATACTTTGAAATTAAAACGTTTTTATTTAAGTTAGTTTATCAACTTTAATTATTTGTAATTTAAATTCAGAATTAAAATATTATAGTTGAATTACCTTCCATATGTTTATGAGGAAATTTCACCATTTATATTTCTATATAGCAATATATTTCTAGCATATTATAAAAACTTTAAAACTTTTGCATCAATTATCAAATTCTTAGTTTTTATACTAGATATTTTTCTTTTCTATATTGTCTACTAATGTTTAACTAGTTTTTTTTATAAATCATAACTACATATATAAACTATTTATGTTATTATGCATGGTTTAAAAAACACTTTGCCCAATTTTAAATCCATCTACCGGCCACAAACGATATTAAATAATTCATTTTAGTTTTATGTTAGATTGTCACTTTTAGTCAATGAAAAGAAAAGGTTAGTTCTTATTGTAATGGAACAAGCAATAGTCATGCACGCAAAAAGTGTTTTTGTTTTGAACTATAAGGGCATATAATGTTTTTTAATTTATTTTACGAGTGCAAATATGAATTTATTTTGTTCGATCTTGAATCCGCTCACAGTGTACAATCAAGATCATAAAAATATTTGACACTTCTTGCAATTATCAGGAAATAATTCAGTGAAAAAATATTTGTTGATATGCATCGTTTGCACCATATCATGTTTTTGATGTTTCTCGAACGACATTTTTTCTATTCCTAGTACCATAATTGCACTTGTTAAACAAAAATACTAAGAGTTTGTGGCCATTTTACACACTTTTGTTGTCAGAAAGTGCCTTGAAGCAGTTTGAAAAAAAATCAATTTTGACTTAACCCAAGAGAATTCCAATCGAGCCTAGAATTATGGTAAGTGAAGTTATTTAATAATCATGTTTATATCTTTACTTACCATTGTAATATATTATCCAACATGTAATAAATATATAATTAGTAACTAGCAATAAACATAATTTGTTTTGTTTATTGCTTATTTGTTTGCTTCTTTTAAAAGCAAATTAAGCGTTTAGAATTTTCTATTTGTCAAAAACAAGATGTATTCTTCCTGGCAATTTTATGATAAGTCTTGGACCATTCGATTGAGATTACCGATTTTTCTGTTGAGGACTGTCAATAGTATATATTGGATATTTACCTTAATAAGAATTCTGAACTAATGGCATTACTTTTCCCTTGCGTATAAATTGCGTATAAATTGAAAACAACAATCTTTATAACATGTACTAGCACCTATATGTTTTTTTTTTGTATTTTAATTTAAATTCATTAATGTTACTTCATGTTTTGTTAGCAGTTGTAACTAAAATTGAAATTGTAAAAATAATAAAATTATTGTAATTGTCGTCCATTGTACGACAGCATCTGTCATTTTTGTACAATGCATTGATGTAATATATATCATTCATCCCAATACCTACCACATAGGCTTTATTTTAATTGCAAATAATTTTAAATTTATAATAGAAATGGAGTCTTAAAACATAAATTTTTTTAAATAAATTGTTTTCCAAAATATTTAAAGTTTTTCAAGAAAGCAGATTTTTTAATGAGAATCAAAATTATAATAAAAAAATAATAATGATGAAAAATAAACTTAATATTCATTAATTATTTGTTGATAATTGAATTTCAATATATTTACGGCACACCTCCGCATTATTTTGTGTTTTCGTCCAAAACTCCGATCTGCTAATTTTATTTTTCTCGACGTTTCAAGCCATTCTGACTTGAATGAGACCAAATTTGGAAAAATTATATGTGTGTGTATGTATGGATGTATGTGTATGTATTTTTGACCTTTCTTCGGCGTTTTCTCAAAAACGCCTGAACCGATTTCAAAAATTTAAAAGCAATTCGATGTACCTCGTTGAGTACTAGCGTTTGAGCTTTTTTCGTCCACTTTTCTTTCGTCGTTGAAAAAACTTTTTGTCCACGTTTTACCTCACAATTCTGAATCGATTTTAAGTTTCTTTAAAATTGTAGAAAATTGCATATTTTTTTGGCTGCGTTTTGGTCAAAAATTCTGACCCAATTTTGAAAATTCAAATTTTATTCGAAAGGTATCATTTGGTCCAGGCCGTTCGGCCAAGCCGTTCCTTCGTTATTGATTGTTAAAAAAAATCTCGATGATTTAATGATACTGGTGATGGAGTATCTGATCTTAATGAACATATTAAAACATTATAGTCCTGCGGAAACTGGTTCACTTATAAAAAATTATTCAAATTTGAAAATAATCACCATATGCGAGTAGTTGGATTTTATGTGCAAAACGTTTGACTGCACAGCAAATACGTTAAGATTTGATAGTTTTTAGTACCATTTTATATGAAAACAGTATCTTAACATAGAGTTGCCATAACATTGGTCTAATTTAGGGCGGAATTGACCAATTAATTTATTGTAGAGCCTGAATTCTTTTCTAAACTTAAAAAAAAAAGAAATATATTTTATTTTCAGTGTAGCATTGTTATATAATCTTTGATGAACAAGATATTGCTTGATCACATTTTTGTGCAATTGAAAATAAATGTAAATGTTAATGTAAAATGTGTAAAGTATACAACGACAATATGCCTTTTGAAAATGTTTATTTATTGTGTTCTGCTTTATTATATCAGATGTGTCGCTAATGATCGACCTTTTGTTCGTATAAATTCAATGTTGAAGTCTCTGGCAAATCACCTCGTCTGCAAGAACCCGATGGTCGAGGCGTGGTTACCTCGATGGTAAGAAACACGCCCACGCGACAATCCATCGAACAACAGCGTCCTTCGCGAGGGACATGAGACAACACGTGACAATATTTGCCAGTGCCGCAATCAATCTTTCCGTAAAAATCTAAATAAAAATAAATAAGTATATAAGTAATATACTTAATAATATAAGTAAATATATTTTTAGGTTTCAATGCATTTTGATAATTTGGGCTTACCTTTAAGGTGACCATACGTCCCGGATTGGCCGGGACTGTCCCGATTTTTCGCCTTGCGTCCCGGCTTTTTCTAAAAGCAATATTTGTCCCGGTTTTAGGTGTTTTGGCCCGGATTGTCCCGGATTTTTAAAAATGTTTTGATTGCCAATATTTGTTTAAATATATTTCAACTCGAAAATTTGAACCGAAAATATGTGCACATAAATTTTTAGCTCATCTACAATCACCACCACCCCCCCCCCCCGCTCTCAAACACATTATATTCCGTCCCGGATTTCATTCAACAAAATATGGTCACCTTATTACCTTGAATTTTTTTTTGTAGGTTTGAGTATGTATGTGTATGAATGTAATTTTTAACTTCCTGAAGGAGACGCTTATGTTTTCGTCAAAAAATCCGATTTGCTAATTTTATGTTTTCTCTAACAATAAGATTTAAGCCATTCTGAGTAAAATGAGACCAATTTTGAAAACTTAAATTTCAAAAATTCAAAAGCCATTCGATGTATCTCGATGAGAAGTAGTGCTCGTCAGTTTTACTTGACGATCAGCCTAGCCATTTCTTTGTAATCAGCAGAAAAATGTTAACTATTTTGTCTAAGTTCTAGCTCGCAATTCTGAACCGATTTTAGGAATTCCAAAACTGTTCGAAAGATATTGGTTGGTAATCGTGCATGATTAGTTATTGGTGAAGATCGGCCGGGCCGTTTTCATTTAATTAATTGTTAATAAAAACAATTTCGTCTATTTTTGTA